AAAAGTTAGAAAAGAGGACCATGTACCATTAAAATATCTTAAGCCTACATTAATATACATTTATAGTTTGGTTAAATATTTTAAGACAACACTAAAGTATCCTAAAACTTTAGATAGCATGTATCAGAAAATTCAATGTTTTCACAGGGGTTAACCCACATATTTCAAAAAAATTAGAAAATCTGGTATTTTTGTTTTAGTGCATATTTGCATTAAGAACTGACATAGTATGAAGATTAAAAAGTTTTGAGGCCTTATGTGTTCTTATTTCTCTATAAATTAGAGATTTTATAGGGGTTAGTACACTACTTAGATCGTATATGAAGTTCAAATAAATTACTCGTTTGAAAGTTAGAAATGATGACCATGTACCATAAAAATTGTTTAGCATACATTAATATACATTTTTTGTGTGGTTAGGTATTTTTAAACAATACTAAATTGTCTAAAAAATTTTGTATAGCATATATCGGAAAATTCAATGTTTTCAAAGGAGTTAACCCACATATTTCAGGAAAATTTAGAAAGTATGGAATTTTTGCTTTAATTAATAGATGCATCATGCACTGGCATAGTATGAAGATTAAATATATTTGGACTTTAAGTGTTCACATTTTTCTAGAAAATAGAGATTTTATAGAAGTTAGTACACTAGTTAGATCGTTTATAAAGTTTAAAAAACATTATTCGTTGCAAAATTAGATATGATGCTTATGTACTATTAAAATATGTTTTACATACACTAATATGCATTATAGTGTGGTTTAAAAAATATTAATGAGCATAAACTTTAGTATATATAACTTTATTGGAAAAAAACTCGATCCTATCGTAAGAAAAGTTAAAAATATGATATTTTGTTTTAATGCATAAATTCACCATGCAAAGCTGTGTGATGAAATTTAAACAGGCCTGAGACCTTATTTGTCCTCGCTTTTCCAGAATAGATGGAATATGAAATTTTATTAAATTACTCATTAAAATATTAGAAACGATGTCCATGTGATTAGATGTATTTTAGTCAAAATGAAAGAGCTTAAATTTCAGTAAATACCATTTATCAGAAAACTTGATCTTTTTGTAGGGGTTAACCCACATATTTCAGGATAAATTATTAAATTAAATATATTTGTTTTAATGATTAGATGCATCCAACAAATATATAGTATGAAGATCAAGGATGTCTGACACCTTCGTTGTCCCATTTTTTCTGAATATAGAGATTTCATAGTGTTTAGTTCTTTGATTTACATGGTATATGAAGTTTGATTAAATTACTCGTAGGAAAATTATAATTGATGCTCATGTACCTGATGCTCATGTACCATGTGGTTAAATATTTTAAACAACACTAAAGAAGCTAAACTTAGTACAAATAGCATTTATTAGAAAAACTTCGATTTTTCGTAGGGGTTAACCCACAAATTTCAAGATAAACTAAAAAATATGGTATTTTTGTTTTAATGAAATGCTGCATAAGAAACTGACATAGTATGAAAAAATAAAGATGATTGAGACCTCAGATGTTCCCGTTTCTCCAGAAAATAGTGTTTTATAAGGGTTAATACACTTATTAGGTTGTATATGAAATTTTATTAAATTACTCGTTGGAAAATTATAACTGATGCCTATGTACCATGAAAATAAATTTAGGATAAGTTAGTATAAATTTCTAATCTTGTTAAATATTTTAAACGACATTAAAGACTAAATTTAAGTACAAATATTTAAACAACAAATAGTATTTATCAGAAAACGTGAAAATAACATGATTTTTCATAGATTTCAAGAAAAATTAGAAAACATGGAATTTTTGTATTTATGCATAGCTGCATCCAACAGAGATATAGGATAAATATCAAAGAGTTTTGATCCATGAGTTGTCCAAGTTTCTCTAGCATCCAACACTGATATAGGAAAAAATATAATTTTACAAAAAAATACAATTAATAAAAAAAAATACTTGTGTAATTTACCAAAAAAATCATTTTAGTGGAGAAGATCTCTTAAATATTTTTAAATGGCTTCAAATAAATTATGAATGTCATAATCGTCATTATAAGTTACCTTTATTAGTTTAGTAATTGATTAAATTTAAATGTGTTTTTTTCTTTTAATTAGTTTAAAATATATTAAATTGTATATATAATTTCTAATGACTTACAAAATAATAATAAGATATATATATATATATATATTTAAATTATAATTAGAATTAGCATATTAAATTGAATTATAATCTAAATTTGTAAACTAATATAAAATTTTAGTAACATCTATAAATGAATATTTCCACATGTAATCTACATTGTACACATGGTACAAAGATTTCGTTAAAAAAATAGACAGTGTTTTTATAAAAATATTATAGAATATGATATATTTATTTTTTATAAAATGAGTATCTGTGCGACATGGATTCTATACATAATACAAATAGACATTATGGAACATACCATTTAATAGTATATCTAGTTTGGGAGATGAATAGAATAGCACAGAAAAACAATTAATCGTAAAAAAAATGTATTTTGTCTGTAAAAGAACCAATATTCAATTTGTTAAGAAAATAGTTTTTATTTTAAGAAAGTATTGTGGACGAAACTTTTACAAAAATTAAGCATTGTGGACGAAAAGGAAAAACTGAGGTGAAGTCATCGGGCCAATGACGGGATGCCGGATGTCATATACTACAAGACTTTCCTTTTTAATACACTCATCATACTATCTGTGGTGTATATATATATTTTACAGAAGTACTACTATTACTTTATTTTATAAACTGATGACAACACTAAATAAGCGTAATTTGTTTTTATAAACTATCAACTAAATATACATAGGATTTTAACTCAATTAAATAAAAAAAATAACAGTTAGTCAAGCTTTTTTTAAAATATGAGCGTTTGGGACTAAACTAAAAAAAAAAAAAAACTCATTTCCAATATAATTTTTGTGTCAGGAATCAAGATGCATCCCCTTAGTTATATATATATTAATTATATACTACAGTACTAATTTTCTCAAACAAAAAAAAATTCTACACTAATATCTATGAAAAATCAGTTATAAAAATAATAATAAAAAAACTTATAAACTTAATGTACACGAAAACATTCACTCTTTTATTTTCTTTTGCAAAATGAATCCTTAAACTTTCTCTAATAAAACGCGTATTTAGAGTGTATATAACCCTAACACATAACACTCTCTTACTCCTTCTGGCTTCTCTTTCAAGCTACTCTCTCTCCTCTCTGCTCCGACCACCGTCCTCTCTTCCTCCGGTTCTTCTCTACGGGTGCGATTTCAATGCTCTTTTTCTTTTTGTAATGATCCAAGTGTGGTCTCTCCGTCTTCCTTAGTTTCAGTTTCCAAATGTTTTCTCATTTCTCATGACTTCTGGGTTTAGTCTTAGTGAACCAACACTGTTTTCTATATGCGATTCGTGATTAAAAGAGATAGTTTTTATTTTTTTTTCTAGGGTTTTTCCTGAAATCAACTCTTTGTTGCTTNTTAGTTTCAGTTTCCAAATGTTTTCTCATTTCTCATGACTTCTGGGTTTAGTCTTAGTGAACCAACACTGTTTTCTATATGCGATTCGTGATTAAAAGAGATAGTTTTTATTTTTTTTTCTAGGGTTTTTCCTGAAATCAACTCTTTGTTGCTTAAAATCAAAATCGAATTTTGTAGGGTTTTAGGTTTGTAAGAATTAATTTACAAAAAAACATCTTAGTGGAGAAGATCTTTTTAACATTGCCATGTAATCATATTTTGACTATACATGTACTTTTAAATTGCTTCAAATAAATTATGAATGTCATACTCGTCATTATAATTTATCTTTATTAGTTTAGTAATTGACTAAATTTAAATGTGTTTGTTTTTTAATTAGTTTTAAATATATTACATTGTATATATAATTTTAAGTGACTTAGAAATAATAATAATATATATATATATATATATATTAGCATATTAAAAATAAATTAGTATTAACATATTAAATTGAATTATAATCTCGTAAACTAATATAAACTTTTAGTAACATCTATAAATGAATATAGCCACATATCATTTACATTGTACACATGTTAAAAGATTTTCGTTAAAAAATAGACAGTATACTTATAAAAATGTGAGCTTCCGTGCTACATGACTTCTATACGTAATACAAATAGACATTATGGAACGTACCATTTAATAGTCTATCTAGTTTGGGAGATGAATAGAATATCATAGAGAAAACAATTAATCGTACAGAATTATATTTTGTGTGTAAACGAACCGATATTGAATTTGTTAAGAAAATAGTTTTTATTTTAAGAAAGTATCGTGGTCAAAACTTTTACAAAGCATAAGTATTGTGGACGAAAAGGAAAAACTAAGGTGATGTCATCGGGCCAATGAGGGGATGCCGGGTGTTATATACTACAAGACTTTCCTTTTTAATACACTCATCATGCAATTTTCTGTAAGATATATATATTTTACACTAAGTACTATTACTTTCTTTTATAAAACGATGACAACACTAAATAAGCATAACTTTTATATAAATTATCAACTAATATACATAGGATTTTAACTTAATTAAATAAAAACAGTAACAATTAGTCAAGCTTTTTTAAAAATATGAGCGTTTGGGACTAAACTCATTTCCAATATAATTTTTGTGTCAAGAATCAAGATGCATCCCTTATTTTTGTTTTGACAAATCCTTTTCCTTGATTAACAAACCCCGTTTTAATCAAAGTTATATATTAATTATATACTACAGTACTAATTTTCTCAAACAAAAAAAAATTCTACACTAATATCTATGAAAAATCAGTTACAAAAAATAATAATAAAAAAACTTATAAACTTAATGTACACGAAAACATTCACTCTTTTATTTTCTTTTGCAAAATGAATCCTTAAACATTCTAATAAAACGCGTATTTAGATTGTATATAACCCTAACACTCTCTCACTCCCTCTGGCTTCTCTTTCAAGCTACTCTCTCTCCTCTCTGCTCCGACCACCGTCCTCTCTTCCTCCGGTTCTTCTCTACGGGTGCGATTTCAATGCTCTTTATCTTTTTCTTTTTGTAATGATCCAAGTGTGGTCTCTCCGTCTTCCTTAGTTTCAGTTTCCAAATGTTTTCTCATTTCTCATGACTTCTGGGTTTAGTCTTAGTGAACCAACACTGTTTTCTATATGCGATTCGTGATTAAAAGAGATAGTTTTTATTTTTTTTTCTAGGGTTTTTCCTGAAATCAACTCTTTGTTGCTTNTTAGTTTCAGTTTCCAAATGTTTTCTCATTTCTCATGACTTCTGGGTTTAGTCTTAGTGAACCAACACTGTTTTCTATATGCGATTCGTGATTAAAAGAGATAGTTTTTATTTTTTTTTCTAGGGTTTTTCCTGAAATCAACTCTTTGTTGCTTAAAATCAAAATCGAATTTTGTAGGGTTTTAGGTTTGTAAGAATTAGTTTTGATTTCTTCAAGTCTGTTTGTTTAGTGACACTTGTTTGAAGCATTATTTTCTTAATAAGTTGATTAGTTAATGTAATCACAAACCCTAGATGTTGTTGTTACATATAGTCCATCAAAATGAGCTTGCTTACTAAGTTTTCTCTTCTTTTATGTGTTTCAATGACTAAAAAAATGTTTTTTTCTCTGTTTGTTGTCTCTGTTACACAACAGATGTCAGTTGATATCTGCAAGAAGAATCCATCATTTCTTTGGTGTGATTGTGGTTATTATATGAGCAAAGGGAAGTTGTGGTGCTTCTTGTTCAAACATTTAACTTTGCCTTAAAAAAATCTTTCAAGCTAATCTCTTCCCCTGTCTTTTCTTTTTTTTTGGCTCACATTTTTAATTGTTTCTTCCCCTGTCTTTTCTTTTTTTGGCTCAATTTTTTTTTTCACTCTTTGAGTTTCTCTGTAATGGGGAAAAATAGCTTAGCACCTGGCTTTAGGTTTCATCCCACTGATGTTGAACTTGTAAGATACTACTTGAAGAGAAAAGTCTTGGGAAAAAAGTTCATGACTAATGCCATAGCTGAGCTTGACATTTACAAGTTTGAACCACCTGATTTACCTGGTAAGACCTTACAAAAAAACCTTTGTAAGTTTCATGCTTAGTTCTGTATGTGGTTTGGTTTACTCTCCAACTCACAAGACTTTTTATCTTTTTACAGAGAAGTCATGCTTAAGGACAGGAGATCTTAAGTGGTACTTCTTCTGCCCAAGGCTTAAGAAGTATCCCAACGGTGGTAAAGCAAACCGTTCTACTGAATCTGGTTACTGGAAGACCACGGGGAAAGATAGAGATGTTACTTACAATGATGAGGTTGTTGGTAAAATCAGAACTCTGATTTTTCATTACGGGAAGACGCCTCGTGGGGAACGTACTGATTGGGTTATACATGAGTATAGACTTGAAGACAAAACACTGGAACAAAAGAATGTTCCTCAGGTAATGAATCTTGTACAATTTTTATATTTAGATAAACATATTTATACATGCTGTTGTTGTTTTGGCTTGCAGGATGCTTATGTGATTTGTAAACTATTCAAGAAGAATGGACTTGGACCAAGACATGGATCTGAATATGGAGCTCCATATAAAGATGAGGATTGGAGTGATGAGGAAGATAGAGATAGTCTTGTAGCTATTCCTGATCCTGGTCTTGTTGCTTCGGCATCACACTCACATCCTTCTGAGGATTGTTTTAATGGAGTGATGTCAGAATCTTGTGTCTCTGATGTACCGCAAGTAACTACCACATTGATTCCAGCTCTAACAAGTGATGTTGTAGCTCAGCCTCTCTTGTCTTCTTCTTCTCTTCTTGAGGTTCCTCAGGGAGTACAAGATGACGATGACTTTTATTCTATGCTGGATCTCTTTGTTGCTGACAATGATGAGTCTTTACTTCTGGAGGGATTCAATAACCAAAATGAGGTCAGTCTCTGCATCATACTTTTGATAAAATCAAGATTAGTATCTTAGTGGTTGTTGTTGATCTTTTGTTGTTTAAAAAGGAACTTTGTGTTGATTAGTATTTAAATTTTACAGGTGAGACATGAGCCTGAGGTTCCTGTTGTGGAGGAAGCTCCTGTTTGCTTAGAAGATGTGGATATGAGCTGGATACAAGACTTGGGCGATGAGATATTCATAGGCACAGAGGATCTGATTGAGCCATCCACTCCTCCCGCTGCTCAAGCTGGTCATCCCGGTGACTCGTGAAGCTATAGTCAAGAGCTAAAACTATTCTAGTTGTCAGTGCTGTTTTGAAGATCATTTGATACTTTACAGCCATGGAAACACAGAGACAAAACCTTGTGAATCTTTAACCGTAATGTTTCTTTTGTGGCAGTCTTTCTGTTTCCACAGAAAGGAGAGACAAAACCATGAATCAGTAGTAGTAGTAACTTGAAATCATCATGAACTTCTATGTTGTGTTGCCTTGATAGATTTCATTCATCATTATTTATGTCTGAAAAGAGTCATGCGAACTTCTGTGTTTCCATGAATCTTACCTTGAAACATAAAGCCACATCACAGTATCGTTAGTGTGTAGACTGTAATCAAAGGCTACAAAGAGTAAATGTCAACGAGTAATTATAATGGGTGTATGTACACAAAGACATAATAAATGGACATAAATTCAAGGCAACAAAAGCTAAGGCGTATTATTGTAAATAAATTCACCATGTTACTGCATCTCCAAAAACACAATTTATTTTAGGGGTGGGACGGATCGGATATCCGGGGTATTTTGGGATATCCGGATCCGGATCCGGATTCGGCGGATCCGTAAAATTGATATCCGGATCCGGATTCGGGACTTCCGGATATCCGGGATTCGGATATCCGGACTAAAACTCGAATACCCGCGGATATCCGGATCCGTTTTTAAAAAAAAAAAAATTAAAAAAATCAAAATTAAATTTAAAATTTTAAAATTAAACATATATTTATTCAATTAAAAATTTATTTTTTTGCAAAAAAGTTTAAAAAGCTAATAAAAAATTAATAAAACTAAGTTTTAGTTATTTAATAAAAATTATATATAATATATCTATATAAATTTAATTATATTTTAAATATTTTAAAAATATTTAGTGGGCCCGGATCCGGATCCGGATATCCGGACTAAAATTTTCACTATCCGGATCCGGATCCGGATTCGCCGGATCCGCAAAATCACTATCCGGATCCGGATCCGGACCCCCCGGATATCCGTTTTTTCGGNAATATTTAGTGGGCCCGGATCCGGATCCGGATATCCGGACTAAAATTTTCACTATCCGGATCCGGATCCGGATTCGCCGGATCCGCAAAATCACTATCCGGATCCGGATCCGGACCCCCCGGATATCCGTTTTTTCGGAGCGGATCGGGACGGATCCCGGATCGGATAGCGGATAGCGGATATTAAGTCCCAGCCCTAATTTATTTTGAAGTTTTAAAGGTGTTTTTTCCAAAATCAAAATTTCAAACATAAATTTAGAATTATTTATATTTTATATAATTTTATTTATATTTGTTATGATTAATTTAAATCTATAAAACTTTTCTAAATAACTCACATATGTAAAAATATTATAATAATATTAATTAATAAAAAGATTATACTAAAATATAAAACTTAATACAGAAATACATAATTAATTATTAAATTTCAAGCAAAGAACCACATTATTCTCTAACACTGTTTTCGTAAAACTCTTCTATATGATCAATTTGTGCATTTCAAAGTAAAAAAAAAATACTTTTGTTGAGAAATGATGGTTGGGACATATCCGGAAATGGACCAGACCACATCAGTCTCACTTCAGTCCAAGACCAGGCGACAAGCACCTTATCCTTATCCATACCAGGCGGCCAAGACTTGTCATTATCCTCCCTTGTATTTATCCATATGTTGTAGTTATCCTAATCATTATAGGATTAGGATAATCATCCCCTTT